ATTGATTTTTAAAGTACGTTAAAAATCCCCACCTGCCTCCCATCCCACACCATGCCTGCAGATTTGTTTCTGATAGCTCCTCTGCGCTTTTCCCTGTGGGTGGTGGAGGGGAAGCTAGTTAGCTTTATGATACAACATATTTAAGTCTTCATCAGACCCAGGTATCTATTAGTGTACATGGCTGGGGAGGAAATATACGGCTCTGGAAGGGGATGCTCTGCAATTCTGGCCCTCTGTTTTCCTCCTCTCCTGTACACCCATCATCTCCAGAAAAGCCTGTATAGCATCGCTTGAACAATAGGCAATAATTTTAATAATACCAACAACACTTTGCATCTCTAAAGCTTTCTTCATCTGAGGATCTCAAAGCACTTGATAATGATCACCTCTCCCTGCCCCAGGGATAGATAAGTATAACATCTAGCACTTTTCATCTGTAGATCGCAAAGCACTGCCCATCTTTAATATATTTAGCCTCCTGTGCTCCATTTCACAGATGGGTAACTGTGGCTCAGAGAGGCTAAGTGACTGGCTCAATGTCACACAGGAAATCTATGACAAATCAGGGAACTGCACCCATGTCTTCTACATTGTAAGCTAGTGCCCTCACCACCGGGCTGTCTGGCTCACTTTGCACATGGGAAACCCAAGTCACAGAGTGGTTAAGTAACCTGCTACAGGTCACCCAGGAAGTTAGTGGCATACAGTGGAATAGAACCCATGACTATGGCCCTACCAATTTCATGGCTGTGAAAAACATGTCATAGACCATGAAATAAGCCCTTCCCCATGAAATCTGATCTCCCTGTTGCTTCTGGGAGTGCCCCAGCCAGGGGGCTCCTAGCTGCAAGTCCCTGCTGGGTTGGGGAGAGACAGGACTTGTCCTTCCCTTGCATGGCAGCTCTGTGGGCGGGGGGGAGAAGAGGGGAGATAGGTCCACTTCCAGGTACCTTTTGGGTTGAGACCCCCAGGGTTACAACACTGTGAAATTTTAGATGTAAACAGCTGAAAATGTGAAATTGACCAATTTTAAACCCCTCTGGCCATGAAATTGATCAAAATGGACTGTGAATTTGGTAGGGCCCTAGTCATGACCCTCTCTTCTCTCGCCAATGACCCTCTTCTTCTCTTCGCTTTCCTGCACGGTATGTTCTGTTTTGGAAGAGAGCATAGAGGACAGAGCTATGGGGCATTAATGTCAAGTTAGAAGGCGAACAGATGGCACCAGATATACAGGAACCACGATGTTTGAATGGAAGGACAATAAATGCTTGCAATGGGCCAATAGGCAAGGCAATTGAGGCAAAAAGATACTGGGTTGGCCCAGGGGGCCTTGAGATGCTTTCCTGGAGGGGAACAGTGAATTGAAACTGATGAGCTTAAATGGACCAAATGGCCTTTTTAGATCTACAATATTTCCATTTGTAACCATGATCCCCATCAATACTCTCTCGCTTGGAACTTGTCCCTTATTTGAATAGCCACGGCTGCTTCTGCATCCAGCCCTCAGTGTCAATATGCACCAGAGGAAAGTGAAGGGAATATCACAGCACCCGGATTGTGAAGCTCTAGGTGACATGTCTTTGTCAATTTCAGGGAGCAGAGTGGCATTATGCTGTCAGTCAGGAGTAGCAGAGATTCACCTGTCATTGCCATGGCGAGTGAGAGCCCCCTCAAAGGTAAATTTAATCTGAGAAGCAGATGTAACTTCCTAACAGTGAGATCAGTCAAGCTGTGAGATGCCTCACAGGGATGTGATAAAATATATTTATATCTTAGGTCCTTGTAGTCCCCTCTCTGTACCCATCTGTTGTCTCTTGTCTACGATTGTAAACTCTTTGGGCCAGGAACCATCTTTTGGTTCTTTGTTTGTACGGCACCTAGCATAATGGGCCCCTACATGCCACATGGTGATGATGATGCCAGCCATTCTCAACCTCTTACATGCAGTGACCCCCTATTACAACAGGCAAAAGTTTCAGGATTCCCCTTCGTATGGCACACATCGCGGAAATCTATTTGTGACACTACCCACCTCGTAGGGCCCACGTCTCCTCTCACTAGCACCATAGAATCATAGAATATAGAATATCAGGGTTGGAAGTGACCCCAGAAGGTCATCTAGTCCAACCCCCCTGCTCGAAGCAGGACCAATTCCCAGTTAAATCATCCCAGCCAGGGCTTTGTCAAGCCTGACCTTAAAAACCTCTAAGGAAGGAGATTCTACCACCTCCCTAGGTAACTCATTCCAGTGTTTCACCACCCTCTTAGTGAAAAAGTTTTTCCTAATATCCAATCTAAACCTCCCCCACTGCAACTTGAGACCATTACTCCTCGTTCTGTCATCTGCTACCATTGAGAACAGTCTAGAGCCATCCTCTTTGGAACCCCCTTTCAGGTAGTTGAAAGCAGCTATCAAATCCCCCCTCATTCTTCTCTTCTGCAGGCTAAACAATCCCAGCTCCCTCAGCCTCTCCTCATAACTCATGTGTTCCAGACCCCTAATCATTTTTGTTGCCCTTCGCTGGACTCTCTCCAATTTATCCACATCCTTCTTGAAGTGTGGGGCCCAAAACTGGACACAGTACTCCAGATGAGGCCTCACCAATGTCGAATAGAGGGGAACGATCACGTCCCTCGATCTGCTCGCTATGCCCCTACTTATACATCCCAAAATGCCATTGGCCTTCTTGGCAACAAGGGCACACTGCTGACTTATATCCAGCTTCTCGTCCACTGTCACCCCTAGGTCCTTTTCCGCAGAACTGCTGCCTAGCCATTCGGGTCCCTAGTCTGTAGCTGTGCATTGGGTACCAGAGTACCTCTATTGACTCCACTGAAGTTAATCTTGATTTGTACCAGCTGAAGTTCAACCCCAGGGTGTTTCGACTCCTCTCAAGCACAATGACTTGTTGAGCAAGTGGCCATGTTGAATTCAGTTGCTACTATCACATCCCCCAGCAAAGAAATCAGATACTCACTGGGCACCAGCCCTAGCCATGCACAACTTAAGAGTTATTCATGCCACTATGGGCCAGATCTTCACCTGGTGCAGACTGCCATAGCTCCATTGAAGTCTGGATTTTACTGGTGTAACACACACACACTGGCATTATACTGGCCCATCTCAGAGGAGTTGAGTCACATTCACATACCCTTCTGTCTATTGTCTCCAGCACACGAGGAGGAAAGCTTTGTGGTGAAAATCCATGATATGTTGCATACCCATCTAGCTAAACATGTAGTAAATTCAAGCTGAGTTCTATTTGCCAGGGGCACTAAGCCTTCTGCTGGAATGCCCCTAGTGCTATGCCAGTCCTGCTAGTCAGACTTCTACACAGCCGTCAGGCCCCACTCCCTGCTCTGCTAATATTAAAAGATATGATGAAGTCATGTCAGAAGTGCAATCAGATAAGACATTGTGCTTCATATTGGCTAGTCTGGCTGCCTGGGAAGAATCTTAATAAAAAAAATCTCCACTTGAAAATAGCATTTTCATTCAGGTAGCATCTGCTGGAATAGCTGGAGATGTCTGTGGTTTTCTGAAATGGTCTGAAACTAGTCAATTAAAAACCTGTTCGCTGAGCCATCAACAGATGACTAGAAAACTCCACTGCGAAAGGATTTTCTAAAAGGCCGGGGGGGTTAGGAGTGGGTGGGCTTTTAATTACATGTTAGGGCAGCCCCAGACCCCCAGCTCGGCTGGTGTGAACTGGAGTAAGCTCCACTGATGTCAGTGCAGCTACACCGATTTTAACCAGCCAAGAATCTGACCCACTGTGTACTGATGTGATTTGTTTTGGCACACAACAGCCGAAATGCCCCTCATCTTTTGTTCCCAACTCACGAATCTCCTGGAGGTTGATGTGCTGGTGTCATTTATAAAGAGTGGGGAGAGATGGAGCTTTGGAGAGGTTTTGTTTCATGTTTGCAGTCTGCAGAGGTAGGGAACAGAATCATTTGAATCTCAGACCTCTCTCCTACACTTGTCTCCAGTATCTAGGCTCTGCTTTACGTGCACAGCTCCTGTTGAGCTCAGTAAGTGCCTCTAATGGCAGGACTGGAGAGGAGGAGCAAATTCCTCATGTCTCATGAGGCAGCAAACATTTGCTTGACCTTCCTGAGAAAACCAGGCAATATAGAATCATAGAATATTAGGGTTGGAAGGGACCTCAGGAGGTCATCTAGTCCCACCCCCTGCTCAAAGCAGGACCAACACCAACTAAATCTCCCAGCCAGGGCTTTGTCAAGCCTGACCTTAAAAACCTCAAAGGAAGGAGATTCCACCACCTCCCTAGGTAACCCATTCCAGTGCTTCACCACCCTCCGAGTGAAAAAGTTTTTCCTAATATCCAACCTAAACCTCCCCCTCTGCAACTTGAGACCATTACTCCTTGTTCTGTCATCTGATACCACTGAGAACAGCCCAGATCCCTCCTCTTTGGAACCCCCTTTCAGGTAGTTAAAAGCAGCTATCAAATCCCCCTCATTCTTCTCTTCTGCAGACTAAATAATGCCAGTTCCCTCAGCCTCTCCTCATAAGTCATGTGCTCTAGCCCCCTAATAATTTTTGTTGCCCACCGCTGGACACTTTCCAATTTTTTCACGTCCTTCTTGTAGTGTGGGGCCCAAAACTGGACACAGTACTCCAGATGAGGCCTCACCAATGTCGAATACAGGGGAACGATCACGTCCCTCGATCTGCTGGCAATGATCCAACTTATACAGCCCAAAATGCCATTAACCTTCTTGGCAACAAGGGCACACTGTTGACTGACATCCAGCTTCTCATCCACTGTAACCCCTAGGTCCTTTTCTACAGAACTGCTGCCTAGCCACTTGGTCCCTAGTCTGTAGCGGTGAATGGGATTCTTCCGTCCTAAGTGCAGGACTCTGCACTTGTCCTTGTTGAACCTCATCAGATTTCTTTTGGCCCAATCCTTTAATTTGTCTAGGTCCCTCTGTATCCTATCCCTACCCTCCAGCATATGGTGGGTTACCTTTAGGAGGAGGACAGCGATGAATGTGATGGTGAAGGTGATCATCACTTTGGCATACTCCTCGGAAGACAACTTCTCCTGGCTTGGCAGGAAGCTCTGAAAGGAAAGGGAAGTGCCCATGATAGTCATATGTCTTTATTCCAACATCAAGGGCCAGATGAAATCAGTTGACAGTTTTGGTCTGATTCCTTGGAGACACATTCCTTGTTTTCCCTGTTATCAGGGAAAGCTTTCATGACTTAAAGGACCAAACATTCTGGTTCTGCTGAAGTGGGAAAGTAGTAATCCATAAGGGACAGTTTTTCATTTCCTGTTGATAACCAGGTGTCTGCCAGTGCTTCCTGGCCTGAATCGGGGCTTTGATTAACCCTGGGTGGATCCAGCCCCCACCTTTAATTGCACCCACTCTGACAGGGAAATGTGTAATGGCATCTCCATGGGCAAAATGCCTTGCTCTGATCAGCAAAGGCAGATCTCGAGCTGGTCAGAATGCCCCTCCCGCCCCAAACAGAAAATATCAACAAAAATGAAACAAAACAAAAAAATTATCTACATTTTCCATGGAAAATTTCAAGTTTTTGGGCGGTGGGGACAGGGAGGAATCAATCCCCAACATATTTTAATCAAAAAATAAAATATTTTGGCCAAAACCAAATATTTTGATTCTGAAATGCTGCTGCAGTGCCTCCTGGGAGCTATAGTCCATGTGCCTCATGCTCCCAGTCTCTGCAATAGACCAGGCTCCATGATCGGACTCCATCTCCCATCATGCACTTCGCTGTCCCCTCTCTGCATCAGAAATAGTTCCGGTTTTGGCTGAAGTATTTCTTTTTTGCCAAAATATTTCAGTTTTCAGATGCTCTATTTTTCAACAAAAAATTTTCTGCAGAAAGCAGACACTTTTCATGAAAAATCTAGTTTCATGAAAACCTCAATTTTCCACAGGAAAACAGTTTTGATGGAAAATTTTCAACTGGCCCGAATATTTTCACTTAATTTTAATTCATTGATTTGTTATCTAAAAGCTGATCCCAACCCATTGAAGTTAATGGCACTTAAGCTTGTGGCTAAAGTTAATCATGTTTAATTGCAAAAAGAAAAGGAGGACTTGTGGCACCTTAGAGACTAACCCATTTATTTGAGCATGAGCTTTCGTGAGCTACAGCTCACTTCATCGGATGCATACTGTGGAAACTGCAGCAGACTTTATATACACACAGAGATTCTCTGTGTATCCGATGAAGTGAGCTGTAGCTCACGAAAGCTCATGCTCAAATAAATGGGTTAGTCTCTAAGGTGCCACAAGTACTCCTTTTCTTTTTGCGAATACAGACTAACACGGCTGTTACTCTGAAACCTGTCATGTTTAATTGGTTTGCTGAATAGGCTTGGACTTGGTATGTGCTTAGGTTAGAGTTGTCAGGTGTCTGGTTTTTTACTGGAATGCCTGGTTGAAAAGGGACCCTGGTGGCTCTGGTCAGTACTGCTGACCAGACCATTAAAAGTTTGGTCAGCGGCGCAGCAAGGCTAAGGCAGGCTCCCTGCCTGCCATGGCTCCCTGCAGCTCCCAGAAGCAGCGGCCTGTCCCCACTCTGGCTCCTATATGTAGGGGTAGCCAGGGGGCTCTGCATGCTGTCCCCACCTCAAGCACCGGCTCCGCAGCTCCCATTGGCTGGGAACCACGGCCAATGGGAGCTGCGGGTGCGGCACCTGCGGACAGGGAAGTGCACAGAGCCACCTAGCTGCACTTCCATATAGGAGCCAGAAGGGGAACATGCAGCTGCTTCTGGGAGCTGCTTGAGGTAAGTGCCATCCGGAGCCTGCACCCCGACCCCATCTTGTGCCCCAACCTGCTGCCCCAGCCCCAATCCCCTCCTGCCCTCCGAACCCCTTGATCCCAGCCTGGATCACCCTCCTGCACCCCAAACCCCTCATCCCCAGCCCCACCCCAGAGCCTGCACCCCTAGCTGGAGCCCTCCCCACCTCCGCACCCCTCTCCCCTTCCCCATCCCGGGGCCCCCTCCTGCACCCTGAACCCTTTGGTCCCAGCCTGGAGCAGACCTCCTACACCCCAAACCCCTCATCTCCAGCCCCACACCAGAGTCTGCACTCCCAGCTGAAGCCCTCACACACACCGACCTCCTGCCCCAGCCTGTTGCCCCCTCCTGCATCCCAAATCCCTCATCCCTGGTCCCACACCAGAGCCCGCACCCTCAGGCAGAGACCAAACCCCCAACCCTGCACCTGAATCCCCTGCCGCAGCCTGGAGCCCCCTCAAGCACCCTGAACCCCTAATTTCTGGCCCCACCCTGGAACTCACACCTCCAGCCCTCAGCCCCCTCCTGCACCCCAAACCCCTCATCTCCAGCCCCACACCAGAGTCTGCACCCCCAGCTGGAGCCCTCACACACCCCCACACACCAACCCCCTGCCCCATCCTGGAGCCCCCTCCTGCATCCCAAATCCATCATCCCTGGTCCCACCCTGGATCCCGCACCTCCAGCCAGAGCCCTCACCGCCTCCCACATACCAACCCCTGAGCCAGCCCGGTGAAAATGAGTGAGTGAGTCAGGGTGGGGAAAGCAAGAGACAGCGGGAGGGGGGGAGTGGAGTGAGCAGGGGGCATGGCCTCAGAGAAGGGGCGAGGCAGGGGTGGGGCATCAGAATAGGGGCGGGGCAAGGGTGTTCAGTTGTGTGCAAGTAGAAAGTTGGTAACCCTAGCTTAGGTGCTTTGCTGAATCAGAGCCTTAGTGAAGGTATGTCCTCAGGGAGGCCAATTCCCAGCCTCCCAGTTTTGCCGATTTAATTTGCACCCACAAAATTTGCCACAGCAAAACGAGTTGTGCTTTTAAGAAATGATGACTGCACAAGCAAACTGTCAGGGAAGGGCACAGTGATGTTGATTAGAAAGTCCTACAGACAGAGATGAAAGTAAGCCGGTACGGTCCAAGCTGGTATAAAGCCGACTGTACTGGCAGGGGGCAGCTTCCCTGGGGCCCGGCAATTTAAATCGCTGCCAGAGCCCCGGGACTCCCCACTGCTGCTACCACTACCATGGGGCTCTGGCGGTGATTTAAAGGGCCCAGGGCTCCCGGCTGTTGCTACCCCGGACACTTTAAATTGCTGCTGGAGCCCGGGGGAAGCGATGGTGGCAGTGGCCGGGAGCCCTTTAAATTGCCTCCAGGCCACACTGAAGGGCTGGCTGGGTGAGTCTGTCCCAAGCCCTGCCCCTTCCGCCCGAGGCTCCATCTAGGGTGACCAGACAGAAAGTGTGAAAAATCGGGACGGGGGTGTGGGGTTATAGGAGCCTATATAAGAAAAAGACCCAAAAATCGGGACATCTGGTCATCCTAGCCCCACCCCTTCTGGTTGAGCCACCCCCTGACCTTGCTCAGGACCCTGGCCCCCCTGCATACCGGTAAGTCCCTTAGGTTACTTTCATCCCTCCCTACAGACGACCTTTGGCACTGAGCAGAGCAGAGCTGGGGGTGCTGCTCTAACAGCAAGTATTAAAGAAACATTTTTCAGAACAGAAAAAAACTGGATGAACATTTTGCTGATTTCCCTGATAGGCTAAAGCACAACATGGCACTTGTTGTCCGGGCTCATGCTTGTCGTTCATTTATTACCTACCTCTTGGTTCGCTGAGTGGAAGCTGAGATAGCCTGGGACCTCCATGTAGGAACTACAAAGTGTTAAGACATTCAGACAGAAATCCAGTAACTGCACGGCCAGGAAGGGAAACTTCGTGTGTGCTTTCTACAGAGACAAAAATGCCAGAGTGATCAAGGCTTTATTTTTGGTTAAACGAAAGAGCCATATTTGTGGGTGTTTCCTTAGCTATAAAGGGCCTGATTCTCCTTTATCCTGCACTTGGGCCTTACTCTCTTTTATGCCACAACCCCTTTATGCCACTCTGACAGTGTAAATAGACCTTCAAGTGGACTCAAGTTTAAGTGGCACTTGAAGGTGCCTTTATGCTGCTGAGGTGCTCCAGATTAAGTTATGTCTACACTGCTATCAGTATGTCAGACCTTAAGGTCTGTCTACACTGCAATCAGAGGTGTGACTGCAGCATGTGTAGACATACCCATGCTAGCTTTCATCTAGATAGCTTGGGTAACAGAGCAGGGAAGTCATGGCAGCATGCGTGTCAGCATGGGCTGTACAACACCCCCTATGCCTGGGGCCCTGGATACATACTTGATCAGTGAGCCCACGCTGCCGCAGCTTCAGTGATATTCTTATTGGTAGCTAGATCAAAGCTAGCTTGGGTATGTGTTAGTCATACCTCTGACTGCCATAGAGACATACCCTGACTGCCAATGGGGAGCTGGTCCCCTGCATGATTGTTAACCCCAGTACAAAGTGGATGTAAAATGTGGTGTTTTACCCCTGTTTTGCACTAGGGCACCTGATGGCACAAGGGGGAAGGGCAATGGTGAATCAGGCCTGTCACCCATAAAAGTTTTCCGAAAAACAGTCTAGAAAGTATAGTGCAGGCCAAATTTTTTCAGACTTGGGGTGTTGGGGATGTAGGCAGGAGAGGCAGCAAAATCCATATTTAGGCACCCAATAAATGGGCTGAATTTCATGCAAAAACCCAGTTCTCAGAGTTTCTGGGCTCCTGCTGATGGGAGCTGCTGGCTTTCAACATCTCTGAAAATTGCTCCTGATTTTGATGCCTAAATATCATGTTTGATGCTTACTGTTTAGGCCTGAAGTTTGACTTTTGACCAGAGATGAAATATATGTATTTAGTTATCAATGGCATGAGAGGAGAATTCATCACTACAGTTTCCCTTTAAAGTACTCTCTAGTTCCACTGTCAGACCTCTCTCCGGTCCATCATCTTAGACACAAATGTTCCCCTGGCCAACCCTCAACCTGCTGTCACTTTGCTTTTATTACTGTAAATAAATTACATCGAGTGTGATGAATCAGGCAAGTGAGGTTATAGGAAATGTGATGAATATTAAATGAATGATTCCTGCAGTGGGGCAGAGATTCCAGTTACACAGGGTTGTAAGACTAGCAGTGGACTTTGGGGGTGAAATCCTGGCTGTATTTAAATCAATGGCAAAACACCCATTGAGTTCAGTGGGGCCAGACATTCACCCCTTGTTCATATAGCGCACCAAGTATCCTGCTAGGGGTCCTATGTCAGAGTAGATCACTAGCCTATCTGCCTTAGGTATTTATGTAGCCCTATCACAGTAGCTTCGGAGCAGCTCATCATCTTTTTAATGCAGTTATCCTGTGAGAGAAGGAAGTACTAGTAGCCCCAGGGTACAGGTGGGGAGCTGAGGCACAGAGAAACTAAGTGACTTGCCCAAGATGACAAAGGAAGTCTGTGGCGGAGCAGAGACTTGAACCCATGTCTCCAAAGACCCTGGTGACAATCCTAACTACTGGACTAGCCTTCCTGCTTCTCTGGGGCCTTTGTCTAGTCCATCAAGTTTAGTTTCACGTATACTGCTATATATCTGCACACCGGCAGCCTGAAAGTGGGCTCATGCTTCTTACTTACCACATGGCTAATGGATGCAAATGACAGCATTTCAGGGACTTGAATGTAGGAACTGAAGATTGTGAAGAGGGTGAGGAGAAAATCCATGATTTGCAAAGCCAGGAATGGAATCAAGAGGCGTTCCCTATTCTGTGAGAGAGAGAGCAGGCAACTGATTATTTCTATTCAAGTGGGATTGATTAGAAAGGGCTATTATAGTGCTATTGTGCTGTTACAGCTAGAAAAAATTACACACACACACACCCCGGCAAGAAATTCCACACCTAACTCTAGATATTAGTGTGACAGGTGTATTAGAAATCTACCTTATAGACATGAGAGCTGTTCAAAAAATAGGGTTTGTTTTTTTGTTTTTTTGCCATGGAAAATTTAGATTTTTTTATGGCAATTTGAAAGCTGAAATATTTCAATTTGGAAATTCTGCCACTTTGCTTCATGGGAATTGTAGTTCGGGGGCCTCAAGCTGCTGTTCTCCTCTCTAGGCTAAGCACCCTGGTCAGACTATATCTCCCATGATTCACCATGGTTTCTCTTATTGGAGAGGGGGGCAGTTGCATCATGGGAGTTGCTGACTATGGTGCATTATGGGAGATGTAGTCTGACCAGCCCATATAGGAGAACAACTGCAATTCGGCACCATGGCAGCATTTCCAAATCAACAATATTTTAGGTTTCGGCTGAAATATTTCAACAAAAAATCTTAATTGTCAGTGGAAAGCAGACTCTTGGCATGAAAAAATCATTTAATTGAAAACCCAATTTTCCATTAAAAATAATTTTGATGGAAAATTTCCCCCTAACCCTAGTAGGCACAGCCAGACTTTGAGCAAATTTGTGAGTGACCAGTTCAATGGGTTTGAAATTGTAAATAATCTCCCCTCCCCTCCATCCGTACAAAAACAAGACTGAAAGTTATTTTAAAATGACATACCTTCACCACTCCATAAAGAAGGTAGAAGCTGACGATAAACAGCATGAAGATCAACAGGAAGCTGGTGGTGATGTCCGCTAATAAATAATAATATTAAGATCCTTATGCAACACAGAAGCATTTCAAATCATGGGCCAGAACTACTTAGTCAATCAGTGCTCAATGGAAATTTTAACTGAGTTAAAGACTGGAGGATTTGGTCCCATAAGTCAAAGCTTTTACTTCAACATAATGACTTCTCCTCAGGTGGAATTGAACGCAGGACCGTCACTGCTAAATCCAGTTGCCTCCATCCCATGAGCTAAAGAAGCACCTCCGCCATGTGCCACCAGTAGTAGGCTCTTACCCTCTATACGGAGCAGCTGCTAGCCAGGGACATGACACAGTTAACCAGGGAATTATATAAGGATATGTTGTCAGTGGAAGATAAATATTTTGCAAGGGGTGTTAAGCTGGGCAAATTGTCTCCCAAAACAAATAGCAGAATACCCATTGCGTGGGACATTTACTTCTGTGGTGGATGAAGCACTGGAGAATAGACTATAAGGGAAAAGCCTAATACGATCTTTCCATGTCCAACTTCTGTGATTCTATGGATTGAGACTCATTCTTGGGCGTTGCTATATCTGTTCTTCCCTAGACTCACTCTGCACCTGTGGTTTGTATTGCAGGGGGCTTGAATTGATAGAATCATGTCTTTTTTTCTCCCAAACACCCTCATGTGAAGGATCAAATCTGGATCCACAGTGCCAGACCTGAGTTCCTATCTACTCTGCAGAATTCTCCTTTCCATTCCCCAGGGCAGGGAGCACTTCTACAGGTGCTACAACAGCCCACAGTGTGCGACAGTAACAACAATGTCCTCCTTTTCCTTTATAGGGGTTTCGGCTTTTGGATCCTGCCTCCCACTCACATGGGGGGATTTGGCTGGTGTGTAGTCACAGTCGCACTAGACATGCTTCCTGCCCTCTCCCAGCCCCAAACCCATGGTCTAAGCTGCCATTGAAGACCTCTGTGCATATCTGAAGAGGATAGTTCCCCCGAGCCTGTCCACTTTGCTTGGGGATTTCACTGCTGCTGGTGAAAGCTTCCCCAAATTGGTGTGTGTATCTCATGAGACTGCCCCAGTCCATGATTTATACAAACACACAGGCCAGCAAATGAATAAACGTGGTCTCTCTCTCGCGCGCGCGCACGCACGCGTCTGTTTCTATGCATCACTGCTTGCTCCCCCAGCTGAGTCTCCCAGAGATACCCAGGAATTTCATGAGCAGGGAGAAGTATGTTATGAAATAAAAGTCCTTTCTCATTGCAAATGTGGTATCAACAGTGTACGCCACGGTGGTCTGATGAAGCCTATACTGGGCCTTTGCAACCATAGCAAGGGGACTAATAAAAAAACAGGTTTTGTTTGCCAAATGTGTGTTTTGATTAACTTCTGGCCACATCAGAGCTAGTGTGCTGAATGCAGCTAGAAGGGACTTTGAATGACTCCTAATGTTCCCATTGAATGCAAAGAGGCCTGTTTCTATTTTATGGCCCAATAAACTCTGGGGGGGTGGGGGGGAAATGCAGGCAGGGCTCGTAAACTGTGGTTTTAATAGTCACATTTGCTGATTGCTGGAGATGGATATTTAGGTTGTTGGGCTGTTGATACACTGCAGAGTGCTGCTTCTGAACAGCTGGGTTCAAGGGCAGGACAGGATTGGCAAGAGAAATAAACCTAACGGTCCTTCAAGCGTGTTCTGCCTCCAGTGCAGGGGGTTCTGGTCCATATGACAAAAGCTGCACGCACACTATTTTCCTGAATAGCTCTGCTGCTTCCCCTGAATGAGTCCATCAAGATTGTGATGACAACTCCTAGTCATTATTACTGCAGTCATACATTTTTATATATGAATTAAAACAAAAACAAAGGAAATTAAGCCACCACAAATGGAATTAAGGCGTGTTAGAGGTCTGGCCTTTCCATGCGGCACAAAGACCAAATAAAGATGCAACTCCCATTGAAAGTCAATGAGATCTGGACACCTAACGCTTTTGAAAATCTCCCATGTGGGTTAAAATTGTCGCTCAGCTCTTCTCTTCCACTATTGTTTGTTTTACATTTCTGTAGTGCATGATATCACAAAGTAGAAATGTGCAAGTTGTTGCTGCAAAGCTTTTGAGAACGATAATGAAATTAAAAGTTTAAATACAAATGTGTGCACTTTTAGTTAATTCTCATGGGAAAGCAAAAGCTGAAGGGGTGTAAATTGACTCACAGGAAATGGTAAAGAGTTTCACAACAAACACACTCCACTCTGGTGCAATTTACACACAGAACAAAAGGCGTTGAGGAGAGTGAGAGAACCAGTTTTTTTTGTGGGGGGTGGATGAATTTCCCAAATCTTCTTCCATTTCTGTATTTGAATTCAAGCTGAGCATTTTGCAGTGTTTAAACACATTGTTTTCACTTCTAATTTCTGGAACTATAAAAGTTGCTCTTTGTGGTATTTCCAGTCTGACCAGAAAAAAAAATGCCAGCAATCTCATGAATAGACCTCTGTGAAATATTTGTGATGCACCTTCAAATGCAAGCGTTCGGGATTTCATTGGAAATTTGCAAAATACTGCAACTTTGGGAGGCGAGTGGGTAGAGGGAATATATGCCAAATTTGGCCTTTTTAATTTTGTTTTGTTAAAAAATAGTACTGTTTTCACACAAAATCATTCTGTTTTTAAGCAGAAATCTCAAGGTTTGTGAAATGCAATGTCTAGCTTGGATAACAATTTATTTTTGTATGGAAACTTCATGATCATTTGACATCTTCCCTGCTGCTAAAACTGGCCATTTAATTCAGGGTTGGTAAAATGTGAAATGTATTGTCACTAAATGATTTTTTTTTTCAAAAAATTTTTGGAAACAAATCATTTTTATACATCACTACTTGTGGGAACATTTTATATTTGACAGCGGTTCAAAAATGTTGCTAAGCAGCATATACATTTATGTGTACAACGCCTATAGACATGCCAGGTAGCACTGGTTGAAAAAAATAAAAACAAAATTGTGGGACTTTTCTACTAGTTATTCAAATTTCATTTCCTGCCCCCCACCCCCACCCCCCGAAATGTTAACATTACAGATCTGGATCATTGAAAAATTTCAATCAGCTCTGTAGCTAATAAAAAAAACTGATAAAAATTGGTCTTGTTTTGATCAAAAATTGCATTTTTGAAATTGCATTTTTGCATCATTGAAAATTTGAAATTCAGAAAAATTTCACCTATTTCAGGGCTGTTATGAGATTTAATCAATTAATATTAGCCAGGGGCTTTGAGATCTGTGGTTGGAAAGCTCTCTCCCAGTATACAAAAAAAAACAGAGGATTATTATTATTTACTCCCTAATTTATGTATCTGTTTTAGGTCGGATCTGGGTCTGAAGTTTTCAGCTCTTGCCCCTCAGTTCTAAACTGCAGCATCTGACAACTGGTTTGAAGAAGATTTGGAGAAGAAACAACCTTGGATTGAATGCACCCTCTCAAACGCAGCCCTCTCAGCTTCTCCTCTGGCTTCTCTTCCATCTACTGAACCTACCAATTATGTAGTAATCCTTGTCCAGGACTTTGCAGTAGCCTTTCCCAGTAGCCACCTCCATCGAGTACTCAATCAAGAGCAGTATGCTCATGACCTAGAAGAGCAAAACAGAGGAGATGGTTATGCAGGCAGCCTGCCAATTTCTTATCAACCAGTTTCCAGAGATCACTACTGCTTGGAATTCCTACTGCACAACCCGCCTCAGAGTCTCCAAGTGCCATACAAACGTTAATGGATTGAAACTGCTCTCATTACCACTACAAAAGTTATTTTTCCTCCCTTGGTACCCTGCTGTTAATTGAATTGTCTCGTTAGACTGACCTCACACTTGGTAAGGCAACTCCCATCTTTTCATGTATTTATACCTACTCCTGTATTTTCCACTCCATGCATCAGATGAAGTGGGTTCTAGCCCATGAAAGCTTACGCCCAAATAAATTTGTTAGTCTCTAAGGTGCCACAAGGACTTCTCGTTGTTTTTGCTGAAACTGCTCTGTGAGAGACTGAGGGGAAACCGAGGCACAGACCGATGGGACCTCCCCAAGGTCACAGACAGAATTTGTGGGAGAGCGAGGGAAAGAACTCAGTCAGCCCCGGTCCTGTGCTTTCACCATAACACTCTGCTTCTTCCTCAACCCCCTTGTAGGTTCTGTGGTGAGGAATTTATTTCAAACATCAGGTTTCAGAGGAACAGCTGTGTTAGTCTGTATTCGCAAAAAGAAAAGGAGTACTTGTGGCACCTTAGAGACTAACCAATTTATTTGAGCATGAGCTTTCGTGAGCTACAGCTCACTTCATCAGATGTTATACCGTGGAAACTGCAGCAGACTTTATATACACACAGAGAATATGAAACAATACCTCCTCCCACCCCACTGTCCTGCTGGTAATAGCTTATCTAAAGTGATCAACAGGTGGGCCATTTCCAGCACAAATTTGTGCTGGAAATGGCCCACCTGTTGATCACTTTAGATAAGCTATTACCAGCAGGACAGTGGGGTGGGAGGAGGTATTGTTTCATATTCTCTGTGTGTATATAAAGTCTGCTGCAGTTTCCACTGTATAACATCTGATGAAGTGAGCTGTAGCTCACGAAAGCTCATGCTCAAATAAATTGGTTAGTCTCTAAGGTGCCACAAGTACTCCTTTTCTTTCAAACATCAAAGATTGTTGATGTTCAAAAGAGCTTGGTGCTCATGTAGGCCTAAAGAGAAGGGGGTGGATTTTCCAAAGAGCTCAGCTCAATTTAGGGTTACCACCTTTGAAATGCAAAAAAACCCCATCCAACACCCCCCACCCAAGGCAACTCCTCAACCCCCACCCCTTCAACAGCCACTTACAGTATCTAGAGAGATAACACATATAGATAAGATTGGCAACAGAGCACTTCTCCACCCTGTCCTGTGACTCAAACCTTGTCGCACACAGGGTGCAGTTGCTGGGCAGACAGCTGCTGTATTTTCAACAGTTTTGATCTGTTATTGCTTAAACTGCGTTAGAGAGAACAGCAGACACAGAAACTTTTAACATTAGATAACAACACTGTGATAATAATGCAAATCTTTAGACCCATGTAAAAAAACTCCCGGCAGATTAAATTATTTTTCCGGCAACTGGCAAATCTATAAAAAGAAACCCGGCCAAGCCGGTCAAATACTGACCAGGTAGTAACCCTAATCACTATGGGAGCTGCTGGGGGCTGAGAACTTTGACAGTACCCTCCGAGTGATGGCTGCCGCCTGTAGGGCTGGCCAGAGAACAACAAGAATATGGAGGCTTTGGAATTTGTTTTTGTTCTTATGTGGAGCGAAAATGAGGCCTTTGGGATTCTGGCATGAAAAAACACAGGTGAGACAACCCCTAGAACAGCCTGGTGGGTGAGGCACTCAAATGGGATGTAGGAGAGGCAGGTCTGAGTCCTTGCTTCAAATCAGTCAGAGCAGGGACGTGAACTGGGGTCCTCCACATCCCAAGAGATGCTCAACCTGATAATAGCCATCGTAAACTGCAGAAGGAATTTCCAGATTAAACTACATGGAAATAAATGTAGCCTTGCTACCAGCCCCTTACTACACCTGGTGTAGCAGAGAGTTAATGTCCTGCAGTCAGTTCAGAGCTGCATCCCACTACAGATTGATAATGTACAGACATTACATACAGCAGGTGTCTGGGATATCAGACTCCCTCTGGGAAGAGAGTATTTTTACTTGTGGGCTGGCAGTATCATAAAATGAGGACCACAGCAGAGCTCCAGCTGATAAAGCATAAATAAATCACCATTATTTCTTACTGGTTTGGTGCTTTACTGAAACTTTCAACACCACTGGGTGGAAAAATAGGCTCCCCTTTTAGCCCATTGCTCTTCCTGCCTTTTGTTTCTCTTCCTTCCTTTGTTTCTCTCCCCCAGTCCTGTCGTATTTCTCCTTCTTTCTTCTCTCTGCATTTCCTTCTCTGTAGCGACACCCGGCCCATGCAGATTTCACTGCCATGCCCTTTCCTCACACCGTTGCCAAAAGGTCAGCCAGGACATAGTTCGGGTGACATTTAAAGAGCCATCATTAGCTTTCAGAGATAACACCCCAATAGGACCAATGAGGGAGCAGTTGAGTTGACACCTCACAGAGGCATTGCTTCAGGCTGCCTGCAGACTCAGGAAGGAAGTGCCACATTGCTTACCCTTGGAAGGTTTCCTTCACATTCATCAGGGTGAGTAACTTGATGAGGGGGCTGGGCTTTCTTAAAATAGAAATTTAGATTCTGCAGAATTTGAATATGCGGCATGAGCTCCATAAATAGGACTCAGCCTGTAGCCCATACCTGTACAAACCCTGGTGCATGTCGTATGTGGACATTGGGGGCCACGCTTGTATGTTCTGAGCCATGCATGTACATTGCGTTATATGCCATGAGCGTACACTGTATATTATGGATTCCAGTTAATAAATTACCTCCTGTTTCTCTGTAGCCATCTTGCTATTACTCGCCCAGCTCCTTTGTTATTGGATCTCCCTGCAGCCACTCTGTTCATCTGAAAAAACTGCTTGAGATTTTGAAGACTTTCCCATTCTGCACTGGGGCAAAACGGAGACCTTTCCAAAAATGGCAGGGAAACAGAGCAAGAGATCCACCCCAGAATGGCTTTGTGGGTGGGGCAGTCACTTGGAACGTGGGAGGCCAGAGTCAAGTCCAGCATTCGGAGGGAAAAACTTGCACTCTGCTCTTTCACAGACCCAGGGAGCACCTTAACCACTGAGCTAGCGAATCTCTCTCTGGCCCACTGCATATTGTGGAACAGCTCCAACAGGAGATCTTGAGAAAGCAAGACAGAGACTGACTCTTGCTCAGGCACTCACTGGAGATGTGGGACCCCTGGATTCAAGTCCCTGCTCAAATCAGGCAGTGCAGGAAAATGAATCCAGGTCACCCCTACTCCGTGTGAGTCCCATAGGCCTCCAGGCAATTAGCAATTTGTGGGGGCACTCTCTGGTTTAGACTAGAAAATTCCATCCCTCATAGGGGAAAGTTTTGTCCAACTTGGGAGGAGTGGTAGATACGCTGGAGGGGAGGGATAGGATACAGAAGGACCTAGACAAATTGGAGGATTGGGCCAAAAGAAATCTGATGAGGTTCAATAAGGATAAGTGCAGGGTCCTGCACTTAGGACGGAAGAACCCAATGCACAGCTACAGACTAGGGACCGAATGGCTAGGCAGCAGTTCTGCGGAAAAGGACCTAGGGGTGACAGTGGACGAGAAGCTGGATATGAGTCAGCAGTGTGCCCTTGTTGCCAAGAAGGCCAATGGCATTTTGGGATGTATAAGTAGGGGCATAGCGAGCAGATCGAGGGACGTGATCGTTCCCCTCTATTCGACATTGGTGAGGCCTCATCTGGAGTACTGTGTCCAGTTTTGGGCCCCACACTTCAAGAAGGATGTGGATAAATTGGAGAGAGTCCAGCGAAGGGCAACAAAAATGATTAGGGGACTGGAACACATGAATTATGAGGAGAGGCTGAGGGAACGGGGATTGTTTAGCCTGCAGAAGAGAAGAATGAGGGGGGATTTGATAGCTGCTTTCAACTACCTGAAAGGGGGTTCCAAAGAGGATGGCTCTAGACTGTTCTCAATGGTAGCAGATGACAGAACGAGGAGTAATGGTCTCAAGTTGCAGTGGGGGAGGTTTAGATTGGATATTAGGAAAAACTTTTTCACTAAGAGGGTGGTGAAACACTGGAATGCGTTACCTAGGGAGGTGGTAGAATCTCCTTCCTTAGAGGTTTTTAAGGTCAGGCTTGACAAAGCCCTGGCTGGGATGATTTAACTGGGAATTGGTCCTGCTTTGAGCAGGGGGTTGGACTAGATGACCTTCTGGGGTCCCTTCCAACCCTGATATTCTATGATTCTATTCTATGAAATTGACCCTTTCCCACAAAATGTTTCGGTTTGGATGAATGAGATAGAAAAAATATTTTGTTGAAAAATTCCTGACCATCTCTACCCATAGCAGGACTCAGTGGTGTCCCCAGAAGCTCCAATGTTCTGCGATACTCCTGGTGCCACAGGCAGCACTGGAGGGACATACTACTTAAACTACTAGGTTCACAAGGCATCAGCGAGTGCTGAAGTGTTGTCAAGAAGAAGCCTATGAGATAGGCCGTGAGCTCAGCCAGACTTCACAGATCTCTCTGCAGAGCTGATCATGAGATAACGGACCCTATGACAGGCACAGGAAGTATGATCATATCCCCCACAAGATAAATAACTGCATACATTCTATCTGGCTCAAACAGCTTCTCAGAGTATTTTGAGAAAGTAACCTGAAAAATGATGCGGAAGATGACGGACAGGAATAGCTGTGGTTTGTACTTGTGTTTGCAATGGGTGCATACAGGAAACAACCCTGAAAGTAGCAAACAGAGAAGCGATCAAGCCTAGAGCTGTGTGTCTAACTGAGCAGAAGAAAAATTACTCTTATCTGTAATATGATAGCACCTGGAGACTCCAAACTAGCTCAGAACCCTGTTTTGCTACGCTGTAAGAGACGATTCCTGCCCTGAAGAGCTCACGATCTAAATACACCAGGCAAAGAGTGGGA